AATAAACAAGTGACGCACAGGCCTAAATAGTGAGTCTGGTAAGGAGTCACGTGATGGATTATGAACTATTCTGAGCGAAAAGTAAACCATAAAGAGCCGAACACTGCTTGATGGTTGTTGTCTTGTAATTTAAAGTAGTAGCCATTTTGTTTGTGAGCTCAAATTTAGTATTAAGTGATAAACACGTATTGATGTGTTGTATTGATGTGTTGTATTTTCACAAGGAAAGGCGGAAATAGACTTGCAAGAATAAACACGCTTTAACATGAATGGAAAAATATTAAGCACATTTGACAGATGCTACCCTGAGAACAAAAGAAAAAAAAGAAAAAACGAATTTTGATAGCTCGCTACAGTCAATTATGTTGGAAGTGGCTTAAGAAGTATTATAAGCAGGTGCGAAGTTTTTAACGAACCACTCATCGGCCGAAACGTTGCGAGATGTTTTCCTGAGTGTGCACACGGATGTTTTCCTGAGTGTCGGTAAGAACAGTTGAATGTTGTTGAAATTTTGCGCGGATACTTGCCAGTATTTTTTATCATGTTCCATTGATCACATGCACTCCATTTTAGTTGGCCTAGACTGCGCAACGCTTATACATGTTCCTGTTTAGATAGAAAGAAATACTTTGTTCAGCTCGCTTTAAGTGAAGATACTTTTAAAGAACACATAAAGGAAAAAATAGTGGCAGGCATACTATTAAGCAGGCATACTATTAAGAAACATTTCAAATTATATATGACATTTCCCTCTTTTCAGTTCAGAGGTTCTTTTATTGTGTTTAGCGACAGAGTGTTGGCAAAGACAACTGCATTAAAAAGAAATTATCAAGTTTATTTTAACAAAAAGTATATTTCAATTCTGTTCTGAGGTAGACGATAGAGAGAAACATAAAACAAATGCAAGAAAAACTTCAACTCCATCGGTACTTGTGTCAAGAGCTTGCAATTGTTAGAATTGAGATGGAACAACAGATATATTTGCCTTCGTACTTCGTGCTCAACAATTTCACAAAAAAGTGGCAAAAGTTTGTTTAGATTTAAGTCAATAACAATAGATAAATGGAACATCTACACTGTATTTTTTGTTACATAAAGTGTTCTATGAAGGCTGGAAGCTTACAAAATATGTGCAGTCGCGCCCTCGTTTATTAAGGTTACAGTATACCTTCAGGGGTGTCTCGCGTGCAAGCGATGTAGCGCGTGCAGTTTAAGCTGTAGATACCTAAACCCCTATATCAAATTAAAGCTTATAGAGCTGGCTATCAAACTATGCCAAGAATTTTGAAATAAAATTAATTGTCGAATTTTTCACGACCACTAAATGCGAGCGCCCGAATCACCTTTCGAAAGCTACAAGTCAAAGCGAATTTCGTTTTCGCCAATTTAATTTTTTCCTTGGTTTCAGGGCCCAAAGCGCTTAAAAATGTGTTTGCGTTTTGGCATATTCAAGTGCAGTAAAACGTTACAGAACATTTTCGAAATAGGATTAAAAAAATGTGGAGTAATCGTACAAAAATCTCTGTCGAAGAAAAGGTATTTCGAAATTAACAATTCCCAGACACACTTTTGTAGTTTATATGTTAAACTAGCTACTGTCCAGATTTGAGGGCAATTGAACAAATTCCCTTTGAGTTATAACTCGTTAAAGTGTCTGCTTCAAGTGAAAAAATTTATTCGAGAAAACAGCGCTAAGAAAAATCTTCTGCTTCGCAAACAAATTCCGCCCACAAGCGGCTTCAACTGGGTTCTCAGATAACTGAGCCAGTCAGTGCAGGGAAAGTTTATTACCGTTAACCTCCTGGTGAAATTTACGCACGAATCTCTGAAAAAACTCTTGTGTTTCGCAATGCGCTCAAGGAATCGAAGGCGGAGAGATAATTTTTCTGTAGCTCGGTTTTTCTTGAAGCTGCTCTGGCAAAATGGGGAAGACTAAATTGGATACGAACGCAAGAGTGGCTGAGCGAAGAAAACAAACAAAAGAGAGCGCGGGGAGCAACTGTGTGTGGTCAACTGTGCATGGATAATGTTTCAAATGGTCTCAATGAGTCCGGCGATTCGTCGATATCGGACTCATCAAAAGAGTCTCTGTCAACATCCTTGTTATTGCTGTCAAGTTCCGAAATTTTTACAGAACCTTTCTTTTCTCTTACCACGAATATTTTGCCCGCCTTAATTATACGATAGCTATAGCTTCATCCGCGTGGCGAACTTTCGCTTCTTCACTCATTGATGTATTTTCATTTGTTCTTCGCTGTTTTCGCTTTTTCGAACTGGTCCATGGTTTAAACGTGGTCTATGTTTACTTATAACTTAATAGAGACACGCCTAATAYCAAAAATGCTGGGTAGTCAGAACAACAATGCTGATCAACTGAGTAGTCAATTCGTGACATCCATACAGGTAATTCCCGCGAAAATCGTCTCGGTTGATTGCATACGCACCACAGGGCTGTCAATCAAGAGGTAAACTTTTACTTCCGGTGAAAACGTAAAATCGCCATTTCTCCACCAATATTGAGCCTTTTTCAATTTTTTTTTTCAGAAATTAGGGATTATTCTTCGACCACTACTTTGACCCAAAACTCCACATTTGAAGAAAATTCCCGACCGAAGATATACTGTAACCTTGAATTAATTGTAAATTAACCAACTCTGCGCTACTCGCGGCTGGCCCAAATCGACTATGATCTTAACGCTGGGCTAGGATTTTGTTTTGTCTGGTAAGAAGCCTTTTGGTTATTTTGCAAACTATTTGAAAGTTTTCGCTAGTTCTATAAACAGTATAAAATTCTCGAAAATCAGCTCATCTCGCCAGAGTTTCGTTTTCAAACTTATTTCCATAGTTTTAGCTATTTTGCATGAAACTGATTGTACATGATTTTCAATGTACTGTAATAGTGACCAGTGTATGTATATGCTGTACTTCAAGTTGGAAAAAAACAAACAAAAAAAAAGAATGTTGCAGGGATTAGATGCTCCTCGCATTCGAGCTGATGCGATTCTGACGGGAAGTTCTGTTAATATATCATTATGGATACAAAACAAAATAGTGAGTCAGTTTTGGTAATGTTTGATGTTTTTCGTTTGTTTACAATTTTTGGGAAAATCGAGATGGTGGATTAAAGAAGGTGGTTGTTTGAATGTTGTGAAGTAATTACCGTATTATCTGATGTGACGCCATCGTCCCATGGTGTTTTCAATAAAGGAGACAGTTTGGGACTTCAAAGTCCCATTCGTAATAATTTCTTAAGCATTAATTCTTGAAGTTACTGAAAGGAGGAGAAGGGATTCAGCCCTCTCCCAGCCAGTTATGGAGGTTCAAAGAAAAAAGAAAGAAAGAAAGAAACCTCGTCAGAATTAGATTGAAACAACTGCCACACACACAACATATGCACTCTTTTCTTATTTATGATAGTAAACAAAAACTGCTCGTTAGCGAGTAGCTTTTAATCCCACCAGCTTATTAGTCAATATAACCAGATCAACAATTTATCGAAAATATAAGGGCAAATGTTTTCATTGAGTGCAACTTTTTTAAAAAAAAAAAACGCTGCGCCCACTTAAATCCTTTATATAACTAAAAATTATTTCTCCAGTTAGCTAATTATTGCTGAGTAATAAGTGAAAGGTATCTCGAAAGTCTAATCATTTGCCCAAAGTAAACTTTACATATATCGAAAGACCTATCCTAGTCAGAATCTAAGATCTTATGGAATTCCGAGATATGGCTGGCACATTTCACCAACCGACTAACTCAACATTGGAGAACACTCTGGTTTTGTTTATGGGAAATAATTAGATTAATCCAGTCTTCTTGAAATTGTGCTTTTTGGACAAGGAATAGTTCTGTAAAAAAACTGGTAGTATTGCAACTCTTCAGCGCTCCGTGATAGTTGCGAAATGCGAATCGAATTAAAATAGTCAATTTTCAGCCCAATCAAAACTCGTTAGATTGATGTCTGGACGTGAAGTCGATAATGTCGTTTTTTCTCAGAAATACCAAGATATTTGAAGAAAAAAAACTTTACGTAGCGTTTTTAGTTTTACTACGAACCACTTATATGCAACAGTAGGGCAAATTCTATTTTTCAAGCCTTACCGAACTATTTTTGATTTTTTGGACATTCGCACTTGCAGGATTGCTAGGTCTCACTGAGTATACGAATGAGGGAATTTGCCATAGAATTCTTAGCATAGAAGTTATCAAAATAAATGTTTGACAGTTTAGATTGGGCAACTTTAGATGGGTGTCAGGGCTTCGCATTTTCGAATTTTGCAAAATCCGTCATTCATATCAGCTGGCAAGTTGTTGACTTTGGAATAATAATAAAAAGACGTTTTTTTCGTCTTTAAATTGTACACAAATATAAAATCTCAAGTGAATAGGGGTCATACACAGCATATGGTACTTTGAGAGCTTGGTGCATTAAAATATACACTTTGGTAATTTGCGAGCCATTAGCTTTTCAGTGAGGGTTGTGACAACTGTGCCAAAAAGAGCATATTTCAGGTAAAGTCCCACCTTTTACGCAAAAGATGGTTAAGGGCTGCGACAGTTCACCTTTTAGTTGACAGTTTTACACATATGAATATAAAAATAAATAATTTAAATCAACATCATATCAGCATAAAAAAGTAATTAGAATATTATAATTATCCCCCCCCCGCCCCTCTCCTATATGCAAGGCTAGAAAAATTGAAAATTATTTTCTTACCTCTCTAGTAATATTTTTCCGAGAAAACAAAATTGCCTGCCCTACCCTTGAACGACATTCACAATGATGTTAAAACGGAGACTTTGCATTAAATAATAGCTTGTGGGGTGTTAAAAGCTTACCCTTGCCAATTAACTCAAGCGCTGTACCATCGTTTTCCACAATTTGCATATAATTTTCGAAAAACGGCGAGTTTATAATTTATGCCATGCAGCGCATAAATAGAGCGATCGCACCTCTAGCTAATTTCCAGAATTTGAAAACTTTTATTTTCGCCTTTTGCAATCACCAATTAAGTATTTTATTATATTTCATGCGAGAGTTTAACTTTCACCACGCTGCATGTTCTTGACTCCCCGCTCTATAGCAACTCGTAATTTTCGGCCCATAGTTGGACGAGCAGTTGCGTTTGTGTTGTTGCTTGCGCTACTTGCCATCGAAGAAGATTGTATCGCTGAAGCCATCTCTTAAAATTGCTGACAGTAACCGGATCCAGGGTACGAGTCACATAAGAATCTGAATAAAAACGCCGCTCGTATTCCTCGTTTGCATTGAAATAATATTTGCCTTAATGTGTTTGCCAAGACATCTGTCACTCAAATTTAATTCCTTGCAAACTGTTGTTTCGTGTCATTTCTTTAATTCTGTTCATCAGTGCATAGAGTTAATTCAGTGGAATAAGCTGACTTAAATTTCAAACAATTTGGAGAGCGAGTGTTCGCGTGACAAATATCGGCACAAATGATCTCCGTTTCAAATTAGTACGCTCCATTAAAAGGGAGAGCATTAATTAAGTTTGTACAACATTCGTTTAGACATAGGGTGGCATGGATAAAAGTGAGTCTAGAAGTACACAGCCGGAGACGTATGGCTGCATCGCAAGCAAGTTGAGATGCCCAAAAGCCACTAAGCCCCGTAGTTTTATTTTTCCTACGTACGTTATGAATTAATAACCGAAGCTGACAATCATCAGTGAATCCCTAGCAGATCGGATGCCAAAAAGGTCGAATACACATTTAAACAGGCGCCCGTTTAAAATTGGTTTGAGTTGTTGTTACATGATAGCGGTCCGGGAGGCAGGCAGGTGTTGCCAGCGATAGGTAAATTCAGCTATTGCTAATAAATGCAAAAGGGGAGACAAACATTCATCACCAGTGACAAGCTAAGCCTGAGCAGCTTCTTAAATCGTTTTGACTGTAGCGTGAAATTGTTCCAGTTGACTGGTGTGGTTTCTAACTTAGGCGAGAAAAGGTATTTAAGAGCTCTTTTTATATTCAGCGTTAATATTATGTTGTGATGAATTTCAATTGTCTCCTTCGTTTTCCTTCTTTGTACTTGTGTATACTCGAGTTCTACATGAATCGAAACATCTTTTTCTGTCTTAATTTTTTTTTTGCCATTTAACGCTTACTGATTTTTTCTTTCAAGACAAAGTAATAATCCGAAGAGAGTTTCTTGTGCCCGGTCTTCAAATGCCCTTGCTCTGCTGATATGGGAAGAATCGCTGCTAAGTCGCTGCCAATGGTTGTTGAATATTTAACTTAACTGTTCCAGGTTTCATCACAAATTTCACGGCAAACTTTCTGAACGAAATTTATTCGAATAATCAAGAAGAAATCGTCACCGGCCTTTGGAATATTCCTGTTCAATAAATGACTAATTCAACCACAAAGCCTTAATTTCAGCGACTAAAACGTTTTCAAAAGAACTGTTATGATATACTAAGGCGTTTTCCATTACGTTAATTTATGAGGTGATAATTTACATATTTTTATTTGTTTACTTGAATATTTATATTTGAAGTTTTTTAACAAGTTCCCGATAAAAAGATTAGCAAGCCCATAGTTAATTGAGGGAAAAAGCTATGACGCACAGAAACATTACAAAATAGCAAACAAAGATGCTAAGATTAGATGGAAGGTCCACGACCATGCAGAATCGTTTGTTTCGCGCTCATACATGTACTGTGCATGAATTACATAACCGAAATGTTTCGGTGGGTTAGTTCCTCAGTCAGTAGTAAAAAAAAAAAAAGAAACCTTCTGCCGTATCTACAAATTAAAGTATTAACGCTATCGTATTGAAATTGTATATGCTGACGTGAAAATGAAAAGAAGCAAAGAGCACCATTGTGGTAAAAGAAAGGAAAACAAAACAAAAAAGAAAAAAAAAATGATTGCAAAAAATGATTGGTATTCCGTAAAGGCAGTGAAAGAGCTTTTCTAACAAAATTGAATTTTCAAAAAACAGGCGTAACCTCGTAATCAAGAGGTGAACTTGTACAGTGTGCTTGTCTGTTGACAAGCCACCTTTGCCATGCGACTTCTTCTCATAATTACTGCATTAAGCTGCTTAATTTCCCCCTCTATTCCAAGTCTGCACCCTAGCTTCCGATTGCATCAGTGGCCGTCTATGAGCTTTCAGGTTTCTTTTCTAAACTCCAGAAGACGTGTACTATACGCCAAACTCAAGCGGCATGCTTGCGCCAGGCGCGCATTCTCATCAAACCATAGAGACCGACAAAGAGACTGAAATAGTTCATGGGAGGCTAAGCCCGCACACTGAAGAGTTTTGGAGTATTTTCAGGAAAGAGCTATACTCTGCGCCACATAAGTTAGAAATTAGCTGTTAATAACTGATCAATCATGCTTGTAAAATATTATGCTTGTAAAATATGGACTGGACTGGATTCCAAAATATAGATTGGTTTGTAAAACGTGGATTGGTAAAAGGTACAAGCCTGGTCACAAGTGTTGGGACAGTTTATGGCAGATGACTTCACAGGCAGCCTCTCTTTAGACCAAGACCGCGTAAGCTCGCCTACCCCTCTTCCCCTGTCAATGTTGATAAAAATCTTGAAAACAACAACAACAAAAAACCTTGGTAATAGCTTCCGAATAGCCACGTTTCAAGGATTGTTTGCTTCCTAGAACAGTCTTCTCCAACTAAAGTGACGATAACATAGATATTCACGTCTTATTCCAATAATTACGATTTTTCAGCAATCACGTTCGCTTCCAACGCAACTGTCTAGCCACATTCTATTTTCCCTTTTTCTTTTTTGACCACATCCGATCTACTCTTCAGAATAGCTTCATTTTCTTTCAACATTGCTCAGGGGGAGGGGTCTATTATACTTGCTGCTATTCATCTTTTCCTAAAACGTCAAGGACGTAGTTAAAATCGTGGGGTTTTGCGCGCAAAAGTGGAGGTGTCCCAACAACTTATGGCCATGATTGTAAATATGTAAAAGATGGATAGATGGATTCATTCATTCACTTATCTTCCTTCCATGATCAGGCAGCTTTCCCCCTTCCACCTGTAGGATGTTTCGTGTTGGTCTACATGATGTAGCACAGATATTGCATATTTTTAGCTCTCTTGAATAATTTAAGGGGCGCGAGAAAACGGGTTGGATTATTACACGTGTTTCGTTGTTGTTTTATCCGTGTCTGTCATGTCGTATCTAGGTCGGGGATTCTACACTACCCACCAAAACAAAAGCTCCAACCCTCACTTTGTTTATGAATAATGAATGAGCTTCTTAAATAAAGAGACTACCTGACATCACTTCAGCAAATTACATTATTCGGTCAAGGCCTTTATGGGATAATCTCAAACTGAGATCTTGTAGTACTTTGAGATTATCCCGTGAAGACCGAAATGTCGAGGTTAATTAATTTTTTATTACATGACTTTTTGCTTTTCTTTTGCAGGCGCGCGTTATGTCGACTACAAACACAATCCATATAATAACAAACTTTGTTAGACCCGGGTGAGAATAAAGTCAGACATAAAAAATTTTACGGAAATCCGTAATTCATCTATTTTTCCTGAAAATTTACTGGAGCTCGAGCAAACACTCGAGATCGTAGCGGCACATTCTGAATCAAGAGAAACTGAAGGTTTTCTATCGAGGAAACCGATTGTTAAAGGACCAATGTACAACTGACAAAGGGCAAAAATTTTAACAGAAAACTGACAGATAGCCTCAAATTTAATATTGCGCGATAATCGGCCAATTTGATAACTGCAGATTCTAAAGGTTAAATTCTGAGGTTAAGGGGAAAAAAACTAAAGAAATCACATTGAGTCAAGGAATGAATGGACGATTTCTGTTGGTTTATTCCTTTACGCCCTGGCGCCAAGGTAGAATTTTAATGTATATCGCAATTGGCCTATTGACTAAGTGGCAGACAAACAAATAAACTGAGTCAAACATATGCCATTTTGTTTGTTTATACCGGCAGTCCGTTTTACAAATCCACGTTTTACAAATCCGCGTCTTACAAATCCACGATTTACAAATCCTACTCTTACAAATCCATGTTTCACAAATCCAGTCCAATCCAGATTTTTAAAAACGGGTGCTTGGGAACAATGTGTTACGGCAAATCATTGAAACTCAATCCAAAATCGATGAAGGTTGACGGAATAATCTTTAGGCAGCAAAAACATTTCACTGCGATAATGAGACGTTGAAGTTCGTTTCCAAGCGAAGCTCTCGCATCGTTAAACAACAATTGTGATGTCAATCACATCAAAACTTGAGATCTAAACCAGTGGTATATTTTAAGTCGAGGAGGTCCGTGGAAATCAACGCTGCTTTATCACGACGTGAGACAAGAGCCAGCTGAATAATCAGCCTCACCTCTAATGACTTGTGAGCCTCTTGTTCAAAGGTTGGGTTCCTTCAACGGGGCTGATCGCCAAGGTAACTGTTTTTTTTTTTTAAATTTACCTCTATCATGCGCCTCAAGGATGCTTAATACGTGTTTGTCATGATATAGCTGTTTGCTCCTGAATGTTGCACTGAATTTGCATGTTCCTTCCTGTAATCAGGGCTATTAAACTCCATCTAAACCGCCAACGTCCTCTACGTTTTGTGTCCTAGTAATGTTGCATCACGTTTTTATACTCGACAGATGCATGTTTCAATTCAAGCCAGTTTATTGCACATAGCTGTGATATCATTGTTATAATTCGTGGAGAGCAACAAACCGTGAACTTCGTAATCTTTCTGGAATTTGACTGTTCATGCTCGAGAAGTTCTTTGAAACCGCAAACGTTGAAAAATTTATGTTCAAAATCAGTGCATTTTGTTCCCGAAATTATTTGAATGCTGCTGGTTCCCGCACAGCGGGCCAACCAGGTTCTGTATTTTGTAGTGCCACGATAACTCCCAGATTTAACTGTGATATAATAAACACGAGGCTAGATTACCAACCGCTGTTTGGGAAAGGAGCCCGCTCGGGGTGGAACGGGCTCGTGAATCGAGTTTAAATAAACATAATTTGGCATAATGAAATCCTCTTTGTGATGAGCACAATCCAGAAGTCGAAACCAATATCACGCGTCTGAGGGTTAATGCTGACCTCGTCAACTCAGACGAAATTCCTTCTTTTATCTAACTCTCTGGTAGTCCGCATCGCAGACACTACATACCGCCCGTTATTTGCAGGGAAGTTGTTGTCTCGGCATCTTAGGCTAATTCTTTGGTAGTGATACTGAAGAATGCAGCTGCTTATCACGTTGTGCCAGAGGGCAACGTTGATGTGTTGGCATGCTGAATGGCTCACGTGTGTGAAAGGAAATGCTGATCGGAAAATTTGAATTAAACTCCTAAAAGAGACCAATCCGGGCGAGGTTTGCGGAGCTAAGTTTCATAAGCCTGGAAAAATGCCTTCGTTATAAAAGTCTTATAACATATTCTTTTTTAACGAAAACCTCAGCTATACCGAGCTTGTGAAAAATATCAATCATGACCGCGGGAGGCTCGATTTCCGCGCGGGTTCCTTTCCCGAACAGCGGCTGGTAATCGAGCCTATGGGAGGTACTTCCATGTGAAAAGGTCGGGGTACATGGGGACGATGCTCGTCGTATCACTCAATGGTCTAAATCACGGCTTTTGCTCTCAGTAAGGGTGTTCAGAGCAAAACGCGTACCTTATAGGGTTGCACTCAAAGAAATAACAAATGCACCCTGTTATGTCCGTTTTACAGTAAAGTGTCAAAGAAAGTTATATCAAGTTTTCGCAGCCGGGAAAATCAATCGTGTGAAGAAACGGATAAACAGAGACGCAAGCCCTTTAAAAATTTGACTTTAAGATCTTGAGCTCCACAAAAGAAGAGAAGTTGAGAAGTTTAAAGCTCTCAAATGGGACAAACGAAGCAAAAGCAGACCTCAAGGAAATTGGACAAAAACCAAATTCGATCGTGACAAAACATCATACAGCGTACGATCTTGTCGAGGCTTGTGTGAAGGCCTTAACCCGCCTAAACCAACTATCCAACAGCTGTAAAATATATGAGCAAATCAGGGAATCGTCTCGTCTGGTCACCATACTCCGATATCACGTTCCGCCATCTTGGATTGCGTGCTGCACCAAAACGAGGCTGGACGGGCATGTTATTCCCCACGTTTGCTTTGTCAATATGGAGGAAAGGCATGTTAGTGCCGCGTGGTCGAAATCTCTTAAAGGTATTCCGTTTTTTGACTCATCTTTCATCGAGAAATGGCTCGAGAAGGACGGAAAAGTCCCAAAGAAAGTAATTACTCGCGGCTATAGTAATTTCTGCGAAGGTTACATCTTTGATGTCGAAGGTAAGTTTCAGTCCCGTCGAGTTGTTTTTGCTCTGGGAGAGAAATTGTACTCGAAAAGTGGTGCGATTCACGCAATTTATGCTTTTTGGGGCATGTTTTTTTCCTTCAATTCGTTTATGCCTATATTGGAAGATTGAAATCCCCTGTGATTCAAGCTATAGTGTTGTATACTTCCATATTCACATTTTACTTCCAGTAAAACCTCAAGACGCAGGAGTCCTCGTAAGAGCTAAAAGCTATAAATCCCAGTGAAAAAATGAAGAGCCATGGAGCGTACAGGTAATGATAGTACCTTATTGTTTCGTCTGAGCTCGAACCAATCCAACAAAAATGTGTTAAGTTTCCTTTTAGGTGTACATTTTTTAAAATTTGCTTTAGTTTATTGAACTGCTAAGCAATTAAACAAAACAATCAATGTGATTGAGTGAAAATATAAAAAAGCACACACGCATTGCAAATCAGAAAAAAAACACATTTTAATTTTTTTCTTTAGGTTGAAATATCAAAGGCTGCAGAAGTTAAAATAACCAGTACCTCATGCAGCTGTGAGGCAGGAGCAGGGCTCTGCAATCATGCAATAGGGCTGGTATACCTCATTGAGCATTACAGAAAACTTGGTTTGAAAAGTGTTCCTCCTGCCATGTCCAAAACAAGTCTTCCACAGACATGGCATGTTCCACAGAGGTCAGCAGGAATCAATCCCCGCAATGTACAAGAGGTGCTAGTGCAGCAGGTAAAACCTCCAAGCAGTGATACTCCAGCAAAAAAGAAAG